GTCTGGGGGGGCTGTACGAGGGGGTGGACCCGGGGTTTTAGAAAGGCTGAAGGCGGAGCCGGGGCTCGGGGGAGGGGAGCAGGGTTGCAGGCTGGTGGCGGGGGGGTGGTAGGGGCAGGGCTGGGGTCTCTGGCCTGGGTTGTCCGGGGGGGGGAGGTAGAAAGTGGGGGGGGGGGCTAGGGGGAAGCCCTGGAGAGGACGGTGGGGTTGGGGGGGGGCTGGGCAGTGAGTAGTTTGACGCTATTTTCTGTTTCATATGATCCCAAACACTTCAGTGTGAGCGTGTGGAGAGGGGCGGATCTGGGACGAGAGGCTGAGGCTGTAATGACTGGGGGGGGGAGCTAATCCTAGTGTAACCAGCAGCTCTCCCTTGCAGGAGCGCAGAGTATCTGTAGGAGCCTCCTTGTTTGATAAAAGCAGATCTGCGGTAACTCCCAACAAAGTTCTTGTTTACCTTGAAAGTTTCCAGCGGCCTCCTGGGCTTGAGGGTTTATATGCTGCAGGCAAAGTTTGCCTTTGCTGTTTCTCTCACCATCGGGTACTCTGGGATCCCTTGGTGCTATTTGAAGCCAGCTGAAATTAATATTGATTCAAACATTGTCCTGTCATGAAATAGGCCAGTGGCTTTTTGAACACTCCCTGGATGTTTGCAATGTGAATAAAAGTTTAAGTATAGAAGGGAAGTATCAAGTCTAACGAAAACAGTGAAACCGTTTTGCCATTACAATTTCCAGTTTAAAAGTGGTGTCTTGATGTTTATGACACTAATGAACTTCAGTGAGAAACACTGATTATTGGTGCACATACCCAGTTCTCAGAGCTCAAACACCTGAGGCTCAGATGTGAGACAGACTCAAAATGAGATATAATTGCAGTATAAAGCTATCTTTATAATCAGCAAAGTTGCAGCATTTGGGTTGCTCTGCATTAGGGAATACAAAGTTTCAACTGGTTAGAAGTAAAATTGGCTCTAAAATTAGTGATGCAGAGAAAGGTGACTTTAAAAAAAAATTCTGAGGTAAAAATGAAACCTGTTTGCTAATAAGCCAGGTGAACTGAATTTTGATTTATAATTTTTGATGCTTTCCTGTTTCTGCTGTTTTTCTAGGATTTTTTTATCAAATGCTTCTGTGGTTTTTGAAGAAGGAAAGTAGTATTTTAGTACTGATGGTACATATGCTTTGCAAACTACTGTACTAGCAGGAAATTAGTTTGTATAGCAATTCCTAAAGGGATTACAGTGTTTTTCATAGAATATGAGGGTTGGAGGGGACCTAAGGAGTCATCTAGTCCAACCCCTTGCTCAAACAGACAGCTTTTTGCCCCATCCCTAAATGGGCCTCCTTAAGAATTGAACTCACAACCCTGGGTTTAGCAGGCCAATGCTCAAACCACTGAGCTATCCCTATTGCAATTAATGACTGTGTTTTTAATTATATTTATTTCTTTAAAGTAAACCTGTGTGTTGGATTGGAAATAGAGAAATGTTTTTCCAGCATCTACAAGTTAGCAACTTCAGTTGCCTTTGGTTAGTCATTTTCCTCTAAATATTGTAGAAAATATATAGTTTTCAGTGTGAATTTTAGGTGACTGTGTTCTTGTGGGATGAAGGCAGTAGGAAGAATAGAATATTGATGCCTTTCACAGCAGGGATTGAAAAATACCTTGCGTTGAAAGGTTGTTACCATAAGTCCTTCCATTGGTGTAACTAAAGTTTTTTAAACCAGTTTAAATTTGGTCAAGCCCCTGGATGGACGTTCTTTAAAAATGGCTTATATTTAGCTTAAATCTGAAAGGAAACTACTTAAACTAAGTTGATATAATCAGTTTTTAAACTGATTGAAGACTGTCCATACGGGTACTTGCATCTGTCTAGATCTGTTTTAAAATGACCATTAGTCACCTCAGTGCAAGTTTGTGTGTAGGCAAGTTCTAATTATCAAATAGTGATATACGTGTAGTCTGAAATAAATTGCCAATTTCTTCAAGCTCCTTTTTATATGAACATGGCAGTATAGGTCCCACTACCCAGTAAAGTTGCAGTTAACAAAATTATGCCAGCAATATTAAGTAAGTGTTCTAAAGACTGGTGAAGTTGGGAGTGAGAGCAAAAAGATGTGGGGAAACAATGCAAAAAATATTTGAGATGAGAAGACAGAAAAGAGAACTGAAGAGATGAGCTGAGCTGTGTTAAGAGTTTCACATGCTCCTAAAAATGCTAGTTGACTATGAAGACAGACGTGTGTTGTTCAGGTGTTGAGAGAGAAAATGTTACCTCTTGAGTGAATAAGGCTGGCATTCCAGTAAAAGGTTCTCTAGACTGCTCTGGCCTGGGGACCTGGTGTTCCAAAATCCCAGGGCCTGAGCTAAAAGAGGAACAGGTATAGTGCAGTAATTCTGCCCAGACTAATATAAGGGGAAGAAACAGCACTGGCCTCAGAGGAGCATCTCCTCTCCCTGCCCCCAAAATTGCAAGTAGTGAAAACAGTAGCTGGTGCTGCAGTGAGAGCTTTGAAAAATCTTCTAAGAAACAGTTAATGGTTTATTACTACTGTTACTTGTTGGAAAACGGGACCTCACCTTTTAGTGTCTGCCCTGCTTTGTAGTCCTAATCCTGTTTGATAAGTGTTTCCACCATGGTTATGCCATTTATACCATATCAGGACTTCAAATGCAAAATATACAATGAGAACAAATTGATTTTTAAAAATAAATCCTGTTTCATGCAGATATCTTTAGTGATAAACAAGGAGCAATACAAATATGATATGTAGTGGAACTGACCTATAATGAAGCAAAATGAAAGTACACAATCTTCCCAGTTCCAGTTGTGAAAAGGACTTACATTTAAGAGGGTAATTCCAGTGTAAGGTCAACTTGTTTTATAAATGTTTTTTTGTGCTTCAAAATTCCCTGTCAGTGCTAGGAAAGGGAACTATTGCAGAGAATAGTCATTAGCAAAAGTTCCAAAACAGTATTAAAAATTTTTAAACGCCATTCTGGACAAATGTAAAGCTTACTTCCTGAAACAGTATAAAAATGCTTTTGTCCTACCTCTGGTAGCGCTTCAGGAGTTTAATACTGGTTCAGGAAGACTGATGCTGAAAGCCATTATTAGTAACAGTTCAGTTACCTAACTTAGATGAGGCCTAAGAGGTTTAAATTAAGTCTTTTATAAATAATGTTTTTGAGTAAATATGGAGCTGCCTGAAAAATGAATGAAAGAGGTGATGAATGGGCTTATAGGTGTTTGTACAAAGTTGACTTTTTTTTTTTAAGGCAAGATAATTCCAGTGTGAGAGTATAAAGGAGTTTGGAGAATTTAAGTCTTGTGATTTTTAAGTGTGTGTGATGAGGGTAAAATAATAAATCTGGTGACTCCTGTTAGTAATTTAATTACTTGAGAATGGCCTATTTTAAAAGAACTTTCACATTGAACCTCTTCAACTGTGATAGAGTCAACTCTACTGTTCCTCACAGGCTTCTTTGGGATGTTTTGATGGTATAACAATTGCAAATGGTATCACAGTAGGTGGTTTTCCTTTCTTATAAGGAATAAATCTTGGACAAGAATTGTGTGTGTCTGTACACACAGACATGCTTTTATAGTGAATTGTATGTGACTCGAGCTATTGGAGCTGTATTGTTCAGTTGAGATGTTTTTTTCCCAAGTAAGTTAATTTTTTGAACAATTATTATTTACTGAAGATTGACAATACTCATTTTTTTTAGAGACTATAATAGAAAACTTGGTCTCTGTGTTGAGCATCTTGTAGTCTGTCAGGCATAATAGTACTTAAATATAAGAACATCCATGATCCTAGAAAGCTGATCATTAAAACAATGCATTTAAACTCAAACAAACAGAGTTTTGTGGTGGTGCTGAATGTTTAACTATGGAGATCTGTGGTTTTTAAAATGTTACATTTTCTGTGGCTTTCAAGTACAAACAAAGGTTACATGTATTTGAAAAGTATCATGTATTTAAAACATAAAATCCATCAAACTGTTAGGTAACATGGAATAACAACTGTTTTAGATCTTTAAGGAGCTTTATGCATCTTCCTCTGGGACTGAACAGAGAACTTTATAGTATTACTTTTGGAGGTACAAGGCATTTTGGAGGCTTTGCAAACTAGAATTGTTGGAAGAGCTTTTTCCACAAGCAGCTTCAAAACTTATTGTGTTGAGGTATTTTAGAGGGTGAAACCCCAAAAACAACTAGGTGGGTAGCTACTTTTCCATAGGGAACAATGCTTCCCAACTAGTTGTATTTGTTACACGATTAATGCTTTTTTTAAATAGCTGGTTTACTGCTTTTCAACAGAAATTTATTTCTATAGTTAATTTAAAAAAACCCTCTCAAATTAACAAAAGCTTAAAAAAAGCATTTTTAAAATGTTGAATTTTCTGGTTCTTGGGTGTCACCTCCTTTAAATTGTTGGACGTACTGCTTTATTTAATAGACGTGTGTCTGGTATTCTGATAGTTGGTTTGTGAGGTCTAGTCATATGGTAAAGTTGTGAAAAAAAGGCAAGTAGTACTGGCAGTTTTACATTA